TTTGAGACAGAATTTCACTCTTGTTACCCAGGCTGGAGTGCAATGGTGTGATCTCGGCCCACTGCAAACTCTGCCTCCTGGGTTCAAGTGATTCTCCTGCCTCAGCCTCCCGAATAGCTGGGACTACAGGCGTGAACCACCATGCCCAGCTAATTTTTGTATTTTTAGTAGAGACGGGGTTTCACCATGTTGACCAGGATGGTCTCGATCTCTTGACTTCGTGATCTACCTGCCTCGGCCTCCCAAAGTGCTGGGATTATAGGCATGAGCCACCGCACCCGGCCACGTAGTTAATTTTTTATTTTTGTGTTTTGTAGAGATGGGGTCTTGCTCTGTTACCCAGGTTGGTCTCAAACTGCTGGCAACAAGTGATCCTCCCACCTCAGCCTCCCAAAGTGTTGAGATTACAGGCATGAGCCACTGCGCCTGGCCTTTCCTTCTGTTAAATAGGGGCAGTAAAATCCCTAGTGCTTATACAACACTTACTATGGACTGGAAATCATCATTATTACCATCAATTGTATTAATACAATGCTCGGTACATGGAGCCCTACAACAAGGCTGTCCATGCCTGTTTCCTGACGCTGACATGGCCGTCCTTGGGTGGGCAGGCTGGCAGGCTAGTGGTTATTTCCAGGGCTGTGCCAGCATGGTGGGTTTCACCCATGCCCCTGCTTAAAGTCCATGCCCTCTCCCCACACTGCAGATGGAACCAGAGCCAGCAGAGCCTCCCTCTGCAGCAGTGGAAGCGGCCAATGGGGCCCAGCAGACCCAAGTGGACAAAGCACCAGAAGGGCGGAGCCCCCTGAGTGCTGAAGAGCTGATGACTATTGAGGATGAAGGAGTCTTGGACAAGATGGTATGGCCAGATCTGGTGGGCTGGGGGTTGGCAGAAGCCAGGGACTAGCAGGCATCAGGTAGGCAATGACGGGCTCTCTATGCAGCTGGATCAGAGCACGGACTTTGAAGAGCGGAAGCTCATCCGGGCCGCACTTCGTGAGCTCCGACAAAGGAAGAGAGGTAGAGAGCCAGTTGCCCTACCCTAGATCCAGCTGCCCTACTCCCCAGCTGCTCCCCTCATACTGTGGGGTCCATTTGTGGACACTCCAGCTCAGTGGCTGCCCTACCCAGCTTCTCCTTCTCCAGACCCAGCAGTTCCCTTGCCTACTCCCTGCTGGATCCAGCTGATCCCTTCCCTAGCTGCTTCTCTCCTGTTGGCAACCCCAGTTATTCTCCCCAACCAGCTTCTCTTCTCCTTCCTAGACCCAGTTACTCCCTCCCTCAGCTACTCTCTCCTTGGATCCAGTTGCTTCTCCAAGTACTGTCAACGACTCCTTCCTTGAATCCAGATACTCCTTCTCCCAGCTGCTCCTCTCCCTAAAGTCTGCTGATGGCCATCTTAGCCTCTGCCCATCCAGCTTCCCCTTTCCTGGACACAGCAACTTCCTCCCTCATATAGTTCTTCCCTGGACACTTCTATTCATTCCCTTAGATTCTGGGTTCAATTGCTTCCCTCTCAAGTACTCTCAGTTAGCTGCTTCTGCCAGGGCCCACTGATGGCCACCCCAGCCTCTATCTCTACCCACCTACTTCTATTTTAAGCCCAGTTAACCCCCTTCATCAGCTTCTCTCCCAAGTACTCTTCCCCTGGATCAAATTGCTTCTCAGATCCCATCAGTTGCTCCCTTCCTGGATCTAGATATTTCTGTGTCCAGCTGCTCTTCTCCTGCAACCAAAGACCCACTGATGGCCCACTCAGCTACTTCCTCACCCAGCTTCTCCTTCCTTGGACTCAGCTGCTGCCTCACTAGATCTAAATACCCACTCCTGACTCAGCTACTCATGCCCATAGAAACTCCCTTCTTAGATCTTTACCTCTTTGAGTTTAGCTATTCCCTATTCTCTAGTTTCTACCTGAGTCCATCAGCCCCTTCCCACACTCCATTCCCTGGCACCTCACCCCAGCTGCTCCTAGAGAGGCCCTTGTTACCTGTGTCATTAATGTTTCTAACAAGCCACCCTCCACCCCATCTTGTGTGTCCCAATGCATCTGTGCATCTGTGCTGTGTGGGCGTTGGTGGCCCTTTGCGCATGCATGGGGCATCCCTGCCCAGACCAGCGGGACAAGGAGCGGGAACGGCGGCTGCAGGAGGCACGGGCCCGGCCAGGGGAGGGCCGAGGCAACACAGCCACTGAGACCACCACGAGGCACAGCCAGCGGGCGGCTGATGGCTCTGCTGTCAGCACTGTTACCAAGACTGAGCGGCTTGTCCACTCCAGTAAGGGGCCAAGTGGGGCCCAGGGCTCAGGGTGGGAACACATCCTCCCCCAGCCCCCTGTGCCTTTCACATCCTTCTCATCCCCTGCCCCTGCAGATGATGGCACACGGACGGCCCGCACCACCACAGTGGAGTCGAGTTTCGTGAGGCGCTCAGAGAGTAAGACCACCTGGCGTCGTCCTGTGCCTGCCTGCCTGTCCGCCCACCTCCTCCAGCTCTTCCTTGAGCTCTCTCTTCGTGTCTTCAGCTGTGCCGTCACTTTCTCTTCTCTGCCTGCAGCTATCATCGTCCCTCCACACAGCCTCTCATCCCATCTCCTGATGTGCCGCCCAGGCCCTCACCTGGTGCCCCTTCCCTTTTTTTGCAGATGGCAGTGGCAGCAGCACCATGGTGCAAACCAAGACCTTCTCTTCCTCCTCATCCAAGAAGATGGGCAGGTGAGCACCAGCACCCACTACCCGACCACAGAGGGGTCAGTGCCACAGGGGACATAACTGCAAAACCCATTTTACAGAGGGGTAGGCTGGGTGCAGTGGCTCTCACCTGTAATCCCACCACTTTGGGAGGCCAAGGCTTGAACCTGGGAGGCAGAGGTTTCAGTGAGCTGAGATCGCTCTACTGTATCCAGCCTGGGCAACAGCACAAGACTTAGTCTCAAAAATAAATAAATAAATAAAACAGAGGGGTAGCCTGGGATGCTGGGAGGTAATAGGTCTACAGCCAGGGAGGGGCCAAGTGAGAGTTAAGGATTCTGCTCACTTTGGGATCTCACTTAATTCTCAACCACACCATAGGAGAGGTGGATGCTCAGGGAGGCCAGTGAGTTGCTTAGGGCTTATTTCTGAGTGGCCGCAATAGCGCTGAACCCTTAGAGAGGGCTACTTACCACACTGAGCTGCCTGGTGGCACTACCACTTCCCAGTGTCTGCAAACCATGTCCCAGGTAACAGAGCACCTTTATACCTTAGCTCCATGAGGCAGGAGGGCACCCCCATGTAACAGAGGCTATTGGGGATGGCAGAAAGCAGAGACAGGGTCAGAATCCAGGATGGGAACCCAAGGGGTCCAGGCACTCTTGAGTCAGAGAGACTGTTCAAGTTCTAGCCCCGCCCATCACGTCCTCTGAAATCTTAGGCAAGTTGCTGCCAGGGGCCTCGGTTTCCTCACCTTTAGTGGAATTGGTCAGGCCCCTCCCTCCTTGTGAAGTTTAAAATGGCACACAGGAAAGGATCAACAGAGATGAATTACTATTATTATTACTATTATTATGTTGGTCATTTTTATTAGCGGATAGTGCTCAGAAGCTAAACTCCCCTGTAACTTGGTACAATGAGCCTTCTCAGAGAACTCCTCGTGCGGGAGGAAGGCCAGGGCGGAAACCTGTTGAAAACCTTGCTGTCATTTGAACCTCTGTACTTCTCTGTAAAATGGGTGAGATAGGGACGCCTCCCTCCCCGGCTGGCGTTTGTGGCAGTGGAGATACTCATGTGCCACAAGAGCCCCCTCCTGAGTGGTGGCCCAGGCTGGGGAGCAGCCCTCCTCTCCCTGCCTAACATGTGCCTCCCCAACCCCTAGCATCTTCGACCGCGAGGACCAGGCCAGCCCGCGGGCCGGCAGCCTGGCAGCCCTCGAGAAACGCCAGGCCGAGAAGAAGAAAGAGCTGATGAAGGCGCAGAGTCTGCCCAAGACCTCAGCCTCCCAGGCGCGCAAGGCCATGATTGAGAAGCTGGAGAAGGAGGGCGCGGTCTGGTGAGCTGCGGAAAGGGGCTGGCACTGGGGGGCGGGGCTTGATAGGCAGTGGGGGCGGGGCTTGGCCGGGCAGAGACGGGAAGAATGCGCCGCTAGATCTGTGGTGCAAAGGCCCGAAGGTCATGGAAGGCGGGGCCTGGGATCTGCTCGGTGGGCCCACCAAGGCAGCACCTCTTATAGTCGTGTGACTTGGTCCTGACACCGTCCCTGCAGCAGCCCTGGCGGACCCCGCGCAGCCGTGCAGCGATCCACCAGCTTCGGTGTCCCCAACGCCAACAGCATCAAGCAGATGCTGCTGGACTGGTGCCGAGCCAAGACGCGCGGCTACGAGGTGAGCCCCGGGAGGTCAGGGGGCCTGGAGGCCTCCTCAGACCCAGCTCAGCGCCTCCTTCTTAGCAGAGCTCCTTTCATTCCCCAGTAACTTTCCGCCACTGTGTGGCCTCACAGGGAACATGGAAAGCCTCTTAAAGTGAGGAAACTGAGGCTGAAAGAGGACACAAGACAAGCCCTAAATTCCAGAATCAGTGATGAAGTGACAGGGCCTCTTGGGTGGTGAGCAGGGTTCAAGGCCAGATCCCACTCTTTGGAGTCCCCTCTTTGTTGCTGTGTAGGAGACCCTGAGTCAATTTCTCTAACTGAGGGAAGGATTGATGAGGCATGACCATTACCTTAGCTGGGTGGCGCTGGGCCCCTCGGTAGCTCTGTCCCTGAAATCACAAACATGGGAGTTGACAGACTGACGGAGGAGGCGTGTGCTCTAACTATTCACTCGTTGTGCAGCCTTGGGCAAGTGACAGGGCCTCTCTGTGCCCAGTGCCCTATGTCTGGAATACCAGAATGCCGAGGGGTAGGCAGCAGGGGGAGTTGCCCGCAGGGTCCTGACCAGTCCTCCTATGGCTTACAGCACGTGGACATCCAGAACTTCTCCTCCAGCTGGAGTGACGGGATGGCCTTCTGTGCCCTGGTGCACAACTTCTTCCCTGAGGCCTTCGACTATGGGCAGCTTAGCCCTCAGAACCGACGCCAGAACTTCGAGGTGGCCTTCTCGTCTGCGGAGTAAGTGTGGGCCCTGGCCCTGCTCGTGTTGCTGTGCATCTGGGGCTGGACATCAGGGCCAGGCCCAGTTGCCCTGAGAACCCCTGGAGCAGGCTGGCCACATTGTCAGTCAGTGGCTGAGACCCCCTTGCCCAGAGAGTCCCCGTCCTTCTCCATCCCCACCCACCCGCTGCTGAGTGTGCCAGGTACCCACCGGAACGAAGGAGCCACAGGCCGGCCTACCAGCCCGGGCCGAGGCCCACCAGGTGGCCCTGTCCATATCCCCTCCATCCTCCCTCTGCCCCCTTCTCCCTTTCTCTGTCCTGCTCTCCTCCCACTGTCACCAGAGCTTCCTGCTCCCACGGGATCCCGGCTGGAGATTCCAAAAGGAGGCTCCTGGCCCGGGCACCGTGCCCGCCCAGCCTATATAGTCCTGCCAGAGGCTTATATAGGACCTCAGCAAGCCCTCCACTTTGGAATCGTTGCCCCGTCTGCTCACCTCACCCTCAGCACCCTTCTCCATCTGTCTCCCCTTCTCTCCCCTTCTCTTTCTGGTTTCCCTCAAATTTCTTCCTTCTCCTCCTCCTCCCCCTCCTCCCCCCACCTCCTCTCACGCCTCCCTCACCCCCTCTCCTCGGGGCACAGCGCTCCTCTCAAACCTTGGTGCCAACACCATCGCCCCCACCCTGCGTTCCCGCTTGTCCCTAGAGTTCTCTGCACCTGTGACTGGTTTGGCCCCACCCCTGTCTGCATTGCACACCATTAGTGACGGGTAGTGAGCGGCACATCCACAGTGGGGAGGTGGCATGCGGGGGGCTGGCAGACTGCAGCACTGGAGACATAACTGAACTCATGTCTCTGTGTGTGTGTGTGTATGTGTGTATCTCTCTGTTTCCTCCCCTCTCTCTTCTCTGCCTCTTCCCTCTGTTCCCCACCCGGGGCCCTGGCCTCCTGCCCCCGTCCCCCACCCCTTCCTGGCCCCCTACCCTCCCCAGGACCCATGCGGACTGCCCGCAGCTCCTGGATACAGAGGACATGGTGCGGCTTCGAGAGCCTGACTGGAAGTGCGTGTACACGTACATCCAGGAGTTCTACCGCTGTCTGGTCCAGAAGGGGCTGGTAAAAACCAAAAAGTCCTAACCCCTGTTTGGGGCCCCACGGTGAGAAACGCCGCCTCTCCCACTTGCCCCGTTTCATGAGAATCTGCTCAGCAAGACACAGAGAGGGTCCAGGGAGGCGGGTGGGGGAAGTAAAGGGGGTATTTAGTCAAACCAGAGGAGCCAGACATGGCCCTGTCTTCTGGTAGTTCAGGGTCCAGCAGGCAAAACCATTCCAAATGGGCAGTGATGACGTAGGTGAGCAGCACTGTGATGAGGAAGCCCCAGGGAGGCGCCTGACCCAGGCTGCAGGTCTGGGACCCAAATCTGAGTAAAGTGCAAACTAAGCTGGGATCTGAACAAGTTCAGGATAAAGGAGGGAGAGGGAGTTCCCGGGAGAGGGATCAGCCTAGCCTTAGCAGGGCAAGAGAGCTGGAGAGCGCAGCACACAAGGAAGGGAAGAAACTTGAGTCTGGATGTGAGGAAGGAGGAGGGGTCCACAGTAAGAAGTTTGACCTTCAGGCCAGGCACCTTGGCTCACCTCTGAAATCCCAGCCCTTTGGGAGGCCAAGGCGGGTGAATCACAAGGTCAGGAGTTTGAAATCAGCCTAACCAACATGGTGAAACCCCACCTCTGCTAAAAATACAAAAATTAGCTGGGTGTGGTGGTACATGCCTGTAATCCCAGTTGCTCAGTAGGCTGAGGCAGAAGAATCACTTGAACCTGGGAGGCAGAGGTCGCAGGGAGCCAGGATCATGCCATTGCACTCCAGCCTGGGCAACAAAGCAAGACTCCATCTCAATTAAAAAAAAAAAAAGTTTGACCTTCCTCCAGAGGACAATAGGAGTTATAAAGGGTTTCCAAACAGTGGATGGATGTGGTCAGAACAGCATTCTAGAACAGTCCTTGGATGAGGCTTGTACAAGAGATGGGATGGACTAGATGGCTGGAATAGCTTAGGAGCTAGAAGGCCAGGCTTCCCAATAGATCTGGTTTGGAGAGAGAGAGGAAAAGTCAAGAAGTCGGCCACTGGGGAGTTGGTGGTGCTGTACTCCAAAGTGGGGAACTCAGGAGCATGTCCAGTTCAACAGGAAGATGTTTCTGGCTGGGGATTCTGGATCCTAAGCCAGCTGTGGCATCTCCTCTCTGGTCACCTTACCTCAGTATCAAAGTAGAGAATTCAGATCCTGAACCAACTGCCCATTACAGACAAGGAGCTCAGAGAGAGAGAGGTGGGCTAAGACTGTCCTGGGGAAGAAACTTGAGTCTGGATGTGAGGAAGAAGGAGGGGTCCGCAGTAAGAAGTCTGACCTTCAAACTTCTTACTGTGGGAGTAGGAGGGAGAGGGAAGATGGTTAGGTCAGAGCTGGGGCCAGAAACTGGGACTCCAGCCTCCTCACTTAGTGACTGTTTTCCTTGCCCCATCACTGCATTCCTGCCCATTTTGTAGAGAGGATTGAACATAGAGGCCAGAAGGAGCAAGGGGATTGCCTGAAGGAATGTAAGTCAGTGACAGGTAGGGGCACACTCAGATGCCCCTCGGGGCCTGGAGCCATTGTGGGGAGCAGTCCACATGTGCACACACACACTCAGAGGAGGAGTGCAGGTGAGGGGAGGATGGGCTTGGTACTATCTCCAGGTCATATATGGACTTAGGAGCTGCTGCCCAGCAAGCCAGCTTGGAGGGAGAGGGGCCCAGCCCAGCTCTGATCCAGTTGGAAAGTGTGACTCAGCCGTGCTGTTGCTCAAGTTGCCTGGTGTTTGGCCTGTCACTGGGGCAGCCCGAGCCCTGAGCCCTGAGCCCTGAGCCGTGCGTGAGCCCCAGTGTAAACAATGGCTTTATAAGGTCTCCAGGGAAGGGAGTGGGGGTGGGAGGGAGCACCAGGTTGGAGAGGGAGATCGGGATCTCCGGGACGATAGTCACAGCTGGAAGAAGCCTCTGCCTCATGGTATAGCTCAGGAAACAAGCCCGGTCTGGGGTAGGGATGACTCCAGGGGCACGTGGCACATCAGCAGCAGACCCAGAACGCTTTCATTCATCCTAAGTTCTTCTAAGGTCTCAAATGAGGTAGGGAATGACTGTCCTATTCTAGAAAGGGGGAAACTGAGTCATAGAACAGGGCCTTATCTAGCACCCACAACTGGTTAGGGATAGAATCTAGACTAAACCAGAGGTGTCCTGCCTCCCAGGTTTCTTCCTTGAAGGAGTCCAGATGAGCTGGGAGTAGGCCCAGCCCTACTACAGTTCTGAGTTTGTCCATAAGGGCACAAAATGGGAGGTGGTCTTGGGTTCTCGGGCATCTTGAGAATAAGGGGCAATTCTTGCTATTATGCCTTCTCCGCTATAGGAAACTCATTCAGCAACATGGACTGAATGCTTGCTATGTGCTAGGCATGGCAGATAGGAGAGAGCAAACAGGGATCAAGGCAGAAAAGGTCTTGCTCGGGGGGTTGCGGGACAGGGGAAAGGAGCCAGAGAACAGACTCCAGCTTCAGAGCCCTGGGGCTGTCAGTTGCTTAATAGGCACAACCCACTCACCCCAGAGTGGGGAAGAGGCTTTGCCAACATCCAGAGCTGGAGGCCTGGGTCTCCTGTGGCCCAGCCTGCACTTACTAAGTTGTGAGGCTTGAAACAAATGGGTCTTCTGCCCTGTGACTCAGTTTCCTTATCTGTGAAGGGCAGCTAACATTCTGAAGAATGGCCAGAAGGGTGGTCCCACCCCTGAGCATGGGGTAGATGGTCCATTGGTATTGGTTGGAATCCTCATCTGCCTCCCCTGCTCTACCCAAGGCAGGTGATAAGGGTTAGAGAACCCCTCTGCCGCCCACACACTCCCTGGCCTCCATCTTTAGCAGCAGGGTTATCCCCACCCCCCTTCAAAGAACAGGGGTCCCTGGGACACTCAGCAAGAAGTACCAGTTCAAGCAGCTAGCAAACAATAATCAGGGGACCATAGGATCGCTAGAGTGAGACCTGTTCATAGAGAAAGATTGTCCAGTGATGAAGCCCATCTAGGTGCAAAGGCCCAGCAGAGAGGCTTCTACCAACTGGAGTGCGCCAGTGAGTGTGAGCAGAAGCAGGGCTCCAGGGAGAACGTGGGCAGGGTTTGGATCCAGCCCCTCCCCAGGGTTGGAGGAAACAGACCCAGGACCTGCCTGGTTTGGGTGGATGAAGCCAGGGGATTCCTGCCTTCCTGGAAGGGTTTTCCCTGTCTGGAGTTTATGAAAGACTAGCAGGCAATGCGGCAATAAAAAAGACCTTGGGGTAGGGGGGTGCCACAAGAAGCGGGGCCGGCGCTGACATCCATCCCCATGCCCCCTCCCTGCAGGATGCTGGTGGACTGCGTGCCCCTCGTGGAGGTGGAGGACATGATGATCATGGGCAAGAAGCCCGACCCCAAGTGTGTCTTCACCTACGTGCAGTCGCTCTACAACCACCTGCGGCGCCACGAACTGCGCCTGCGCGGCAAGAATGTCTAGCCTCCCCGCCCGCACGGCCCGCCAGTGGCAAGCTGCTGCCCCCACCCTCCGGGCACCGATCCCTCCCTGTGCGCCCGCCCACCGCTGCCCTGTCTGTCGCGACACCCTCCTCTCACATACACACGCAACGTTTTGATAAATTATTGGTTTTCAACGATCCTGACCCCTCCCTGCGTCTCCTCGGGGTGGAAGGGGGTTTGAACCGAAGGCAGTTCGGCAAGGTCTCCGACTGCAGCAGCCAGACTTTTGGGGATGCGGAGGTCCTCAGCGGTTCCACTTCCGACCTCCTACTCCACCCGCCCGCAGCAACAAAGAGTCGAGCCTCAGTTAAGGCAGGAGGGAATTTAGTGGAGCTGGGGAGGGAAGAAAGCAGGGTTGGGAGAACCTCCCCAACCCCATCGCTGCTGGCCTGGGGACGGGGCATCCGCCCTCAGCAAGGGAGGTACTCCCGGGTTGCTGAGCGCTTCATCTGTCTCCAGGACTCAGGCAGGTAGGTGGTCCCAGCTCCGCAGCTCCCCCAGACCTACAGGTCAGTGTGGTCTGAAGTTTCCTCCGGGGGCCTAGCGGGCGCCCACACGTACTCGGGGGGCACCTGCGCGTCGGGCGCCACCTTGCGGTAGAAGCCGAGCTCCTGCACCAGCGCGTTGATCTCTTCGCGGGTCATTTCGCTGAGCGGAATGCGCTGAGGCGGAGGAGGGGCGGGGTCAGCAGGCCGGCTCGGCCTCGGGCCCCGCCCCCAGCCCGCCTCCCAAGGCCTCACCTCCAGTTCCTCGTAGCGGCGGCCCAGCAGCACGAGCTCGGGGTCGGCCCCAGGGAGGTGTTTCATCACCAGGTTGTGACTGGAGGTGGTGTTAAGGTGGGTGGTGGTGGTCAGAGGGAGGTGGGGGTTCCCGCATCCTTACTTATGGGAACAGCATTTCCTCCTTTGCTGAGCACTTACTCTGTTCCAAGTGGGGCTGGGTTCTTCGCTTGTACATGAGAAAATTAGGGTTCAAAGAAATAAAGGGCCCTCCGGCAGTCATCACTAGTCAGTCTCTTGCCCACCCAATATGGAGACCACCTCAGAATCCTATGGGCGGCCACTACCAATCAATTCCACTTGTCAGTTGAAAACTATCTGCCACCTCTATCTGAAGTTAAGTGGAGATTCTCCCAGGTGCCCACCCCACTCCCTCTCCCCCAGAACAGAAGGATACTAGAATGGAATGTCCTGAGTGACGAAAGCCTTCACCTGGGGAGGAACCAGAGCATCAGAGAACATGGCCCCAGTCCCCTCCAGGTACAGTCAGGACACTGAAGCCCAATAGGGTCATAAAGCAAGTCAAGTTCAGGCTCCTGACTCTCAGCCTAAGGGTCCTCCCCCCACCCCTAGTCATTGGGACCATGCTGCCCAATCCCCAAGAGGCTCAGGGGGAACAGAGATAGGGACCCCTTCCTTCAAACTCACCTCCTTTAGGCGGTTCAGCTGTCATCCCCCACAGGTCTGGAGAGGTATAAAATGGGATAGGTCAGGAGTCCTTCACATTTATTCCAGCCACACTCCCAAAGCCATACATCCTTATCCCTGAGTTGGGTCGGGCTGTGAGTTACCCCTGGATCAGCAGTTCCCAAGGTATGAAGGAGATGCTAGTCTCTTGTGGGCAGAAGGGGAAACTGTATACAGGTTGGGAGACTCAGGCCAGAGACACCAGAGGAAAAGGGCAAGGCCAGAGACCCACAGGTGCCAGCCAGCCTTGGGGCCTGTATATCCTGTTGGCTGTTGATTGACTCCTAATGCCCAGGGGAAATGATCACCCTGCTCCTGTTAAGCAGGAGAGACCTGGCTTGGCCTTTGACTCCTGAAATCTCACAGTGGAGGCAGACCAGAAGGAAACACCTCAGAATGGTCCTAGGGGCCCCCATTAGAGACACCTACTATCTGGTCCTACCCTACACAGGCAGACCTTGCCCTGCCTGCCACCTGTGGCCCAGCCCCACAGACCATCTGGTTGCTTCCCTGACATGGGAGGATGGGAGGAATCCTCCTGCCTTCCCTGAGGAGACACCACCATCCAACAGAAGTCCAGACCCCAGGACTACCCACTCCAGCCCTCCTCCATCCTACTGTCACCCCTTTTCTTAGAGACAGGGTCTCACTATGTTCCCCCCAAGGTGGTCTTGAACTCGTGGGCTCAAGCGATCCTTCTGCCTTGGCCTCCCAAAGTGCTGGGATTACAAGCATGCACCACCAGCACCCAACCATCCTACACCTTTTTGTCAGTCAGCGCTCACAAAAAGCGCAGAGAGGGGCTGTGATGGCCAAAGTCACATAGCAAGACAGGGACTCCAAAGGGGAATTTCCTGTCGGGGGGAGGATGGGAGGCTGCAGCAGAGTAAGTGTTAGCAACCAAGTTCCCAACTCGGTTCCCTGTCGAGCTGGCCCCCTTCCCTGGCTCCTGAATGAGGAAAGGAGGCACCCAGAAAGTCTTCTCTCCCCCCAGGAATAGGAAAAGAGACTTTCTGGAGCCTCAAGCCCTGGAACTGGGTGGGGGAGGAATTCCAGGAAAACATGAAGTGATGGGGGATGGGAAGTTGGGACAGGCTTGAGAGTCACAGGCCACGAGGAGAGTTAGGAAACTGTCAGTGTGTCTGGGGGTCCGCTGTCGGCCGGGTAAGGGGAGCTGGGGAAGGGCTTGGAGTTTCAGGCCGCAAAGTCAGTGTCTCAGGCTTCCACGGTGGATGCGGGGGCCATCCTGGGGCTAGAGAACAGGAGGGATGGCCCCGGCGCCAGGGGAAAGCAGTGAGACTCGAGATTCGAGGTGGTCCTGGGGCTGGGGCGGGCAGTGCTCCCTTGGGGCCGCAGGATTGGGAGACGGTGGTGCCGGGGCTGGAGGCCGACGTACTCACCTCTACCCGGGCGCGGGTCAGGCCTCTCAGACGGTTCCAGTCCGGCCGATAGGTAGTGGCGGCTGTGGCTGGAGCCGCAAGCGCCGCGAGAAGCAGCAGCAGCGGCAGCGGAGGCAACAGGAGGCTCATCGGGACCCCGGCCGCAAATGATGCGCAAGCTGGAGGCGAACCTCCGAGTCGCTGCGCCACGTCTGGGCCTGCGGGCTGGCCCCGCCCCCCTCCCCGCCCCTCCCCGCCCCCGCCAGAGGCCCCGCCCCGCTGGAGACCACGCCCCCAGCGCTTGGTTTCCGCCCCAGGGCTCCCCACCGTAGCCTCCCGCTAGCTCCGGGCGAGGTCCCGGCTTTTCCCTGGTCTTGGGGCTTCTGCTTTCCCAGGTCCAAGAGTGTTCACGCTCCTTTTGCCGACCGAGTGTAGGCGCTCCAACGGGATGCAGTCAGGCAGTGCCACCTCACGCCTGCAGAGGGCGCAGGCGAGACGCTGAGGGACACCGGAGTTTCTGAGCCAAACCTGCGACGAGAGAGAGAGAGAGAGAGAGAGAGAAAAGAAAAGAAGAAAAAGTAAGATAGAAACTGGCTTTCTAAGGAGTCCTCGCTTTAGAGCGTAGGAGATGGGGAGTGAGGTTCGGTGGAGGGGTGCGGCTTCTGGAAACTACTGAGACCGGCCAGGGTGTTTTCTACCATTCACAGCTGCTGCCGAGCAGACGCTGTATCCTGGGGTGGGGAAAGAAATTTGTTACTCAGAGGTGGGAAAATACAAGGAGGGTCACAGCTGATAGGCCACGATGGGATCTTAAATCAGCTGGGTTATATTTACGGAGTCAGGATTTACTTTTTTTCCATGTGGCTATCCAATTGAACTGAAAAGATTGTCTTTTTCAGGGCTACTCTGCAGCGTTACCTCTGTTATATATAAACAGGCAACTATGGCCCGGCGCGGTGGTTCATGCCTATAATCCCAGCACTTTGGGAGGCCTAGGCGGGGAGATCACTTGAGGTCGGGAGTTTGAGGCCAGCCTGGCCAACATGGTGAAACCCCATCTCTACTAAAAATGCAAAAATTAGCTGGGCATAATGTGGGCACCTGTAATCCCAGCTACTCGGGAGGCTGAGGCAGGAGGATCACTTGAACCCGGAAGGTGGAGGTTGCAGTGAGCTGAGATTGCGCCGTTGTACTCCAGCCTGGGCGACAGAATAAAACTCCATCTCAAAAAGAATAAAAAATAAAAATAAATAAATAAATATATGTGAGTCTACTTCTGAATATAGTACCCTATTCTAGCCCTCCAGTCCATTTGTCTAACTACACCGTCTTAACTATAGCTTTATAGTCAGACTTGACATCTGATTGTGTTTTTGTCCTCTAGCTTTGTTCTTTCTAGTTCTTTTTTTTGTCTTCTTCTTTTTGAGATGGAATCTCACTCTGTCTCTCAGGCTGGAGTCCAGGTGTACAATCACAGCCTGAACCTCCCAGGCTCAAGCAATCCTCCCACCTCAGCCTCCTGAGTATCTAGGACTATAGGCATGCACCGCCATGCCCAGCTGTTTTTTGTTTGTTTGTTTGTTTTGGTGTTGGTGGAGTTTTTTTGAGATGGAGTTTCACTCTTGTTGTCCAGGCGAGACAGGGTTTCACCATGTTGGCCAGGCTGGTCACAAACTTCTGACCTCAGGTAATCCACCCGTGTTGGCCTCCCAAAGTGCTAGGATTCCAGGTGTCACTCACTGAGCCTGGCCCACCCAGCTGATTTATGTTGCCCAGGCTGGTCTTAAACTCCTGGGCTCAAGTGATCCTCCTGCTTTGGCATCCCAAAGTGCTGGGATTACAGGCATGAGCCACCATGCCTGTCCTGTGGTCTGCATTTTCCTGCGGTGAGGACCATGTGTGAACCCACAGCATCAGTAGCCACTGCATGCAGCCTAGCTTTGTTCTTGAAGGTTGTCTTCATTATACTTGGCATTTTGCACTTCCAGATACAATTTAGGGCCAACTTGTCAACCTCCACAGAAAAACCTTCCAAATTTGTATCAGGATTTCAGATTCCCGTTGGGGAAATCAATCTGAGGAGACTCTGCGGCTTTACATGATTGTGTCTTTTCTACTATGAACATGGTAAGTCTCTCTATTTCTGTAGGTCTTCTTTAATTTCCTTCAATAATGTTTTGTGATTTTTAGAATCAATGTTTTGCATATCTTCCATTAGATTTATTACTAAATATTTAATTTGTTTTGGTATTACAAACTCTATTGTCTTTACATACTCATTTTCAAGTTGCTTGGCAGTAGCATATAGGAAGACAATTGATTTTTGCATATTAACCTTGCAGGCAGTGATCTCACTGAATTTGCTTACTCTAATAGTTTAACTGGAGATTTTAAAATATGTTCTACATGTTCATATTATATCACCTGGAAATAAAAGTGGTTTTCTTCCTTTCTGATCCTTATACCTTGGTTTTATTTCATTGCACTATCTTAATTGTATTCTGAGACCTCTGGTACAATGTTGACCAGAATTGATAACTGGTAATAGCAGATACTCTCGTCTTTTTCCAGATATCATCTTTAAACTATCATGTTTCCTGTAGGTTTGTTATTAATGCCTTTTATACGATTAACAAAGTTCTTTTTCATTTCTTTTTTTCTTAGAGCTTTTATCATGAACGGATGTTGAAACTTGTCAAATGTTTTCCTGCATCTATTGAGATGGTCATGTGGTTTTCTCTTTTATTTTGTTAAATGTGGTGAAATACGTGAACTGATTTCCATATGTCAAATCTTGCGTTCCTGTAATAAACCAGTTTGGTTATAGAAAAAGAGAGAGGGAAACTGAACCCTAGAGAATCCCTGTTTGTGTTACTTATTTATTTATTCAGTAGATTATGAGGGCTTGCTCTAGACCAGGCTGGTCTCGAACTCCTGGCCTCAAGTGATCCTCCTGCCTCAGCCTCCCAAAGTGCTAGATTTACAAGTGTGAGCGACTGCACCTGACCTTTTTATTTCTTTGTACAAAAATTCCAATCAACATTTTTATTTCCCAGAGCACACATTGTGGTGATGGAATATTATGTACCCTGTGGGGGTTGGCAGGATAAAGGGGTTAATACATATAAAGCTCATTAGAACAGCATCTAGTACAGGCTGGGTGCAGTGGCTCACGCCTGTAATCCCAGCACTTTGGGACTCCGAGGTGGGCGGATCATGAGGTCAGTGGTTTGACACCAGCCTGGCCAACATGGTGAGACCTCGCCTCTACTAAAAGTACAAAAATTAGCCAGGTGTGGTAGCTGGGCGAGTGCCTATAGTCCCAGCTACTCTGGAGGCTGAGACAGGAGAACTGCTTGAACCAGGAGGTGGAGGTAGTGAGCAAGATCGCACCACTGCACTCCAGCCTGGGCGACACAGGGAGACTCCGTCTAAAAAAAAAAAAAGAACAGCACCTAGTACAGTGTTAGCTTTCATTATCAGCTCCTTACCTCATAAAGACCCCGTGAGCTACATTTTACAGGTTAGGAAACAGGGTCAGAAAGGTGAAATGAGTGAACTGTGGATTGGGGACTTGAGCCCAACATGTCTAAGCACGCATCTCACGACATAACCAGATTGCTCTTTCTGCCATCTTTATGCGCTGCCATAATGATGCACGTCTCAAGAGCATCAACAATGCCAGAAGAGAGGCAAACACGAGGTTCTTAGAAGGCTGTGCTCCAAAGTCATGGCCTGGTTTCTAACTGCGGTAATAAAGCATGCTTACATTGGCCAAGTTGAAATCACTGATGATCACAGAGCTAGGAAAACTGCTGTGAACCTCACAGGCAGGTTAAATAAGTGTGGAGTGATCAGCCCCAGATTTAATGTGCAACTCAAAGATCTAGAAAAATAGCAGAATAATTTGCTCCCATCCAGCTAATTTGGTTTCATTGTACTGACAACCTCAGCTGGCATCATGGACCACAAAGAAGCAAGACGAAAACACACCGGAGGGAAAACCCTGGGATTCTTTTTCTAAAAATGTAATACACATTTGCAGATAAAATTCCTACAATTAAAAAAAAAATAAAAAGAACAGATCACCAGATCACCATTTCCCCTCTTCATGCCTTCTTCAGCAGACACAGCAAATGAATGCGCTCTTTTCACATTGAACCTGGGGACTGCTTCTCAATATTGAGCCAAGGCTGCATTATGACTTTCATGGATCCTAGGGTTTTTGAGTTTTCTTCCTACTTCTATTTTTTTTAATTCTTATTTTTCATTTTTCATTTTTTTTTTTTGAAAATAGTTTCAACATCAACAGAAATATTTTTCATTTTCTTTTGAGACAGAGCCTCACTGTGTTCCCCCGGCTGGAGTGCAATGGTGCAATCTTGGGTCACCACAACCTCCGCCTCCCGGGTTCAAGCGATTCTCCTGCCTCTGCCTCCTGAGTAGCTGGGACTGCAGGTATGTGCTACCATGCCCAGCTAATTTTTGTATTTTTAGTGGAGATGGGGTTTTGCCACGTTGACTAGGCTGGTCTCAAACTCCTGACCTTGTGATCTGCCCACCTCGGGCTCTCAAAAGTACTGGGATTACAGGTGTGAGCCACCTCACCAGGCCTTATTTTTATTTTTATTTTGAGACAGAGTCTTGTTCTATTGCCCAGGCTGGAGTGAAGTGGTGCAACCTTGGCTCATTGCAACCTCTGCCTCCTAGGTTCAAGCAATTCTAGTGTTTCAGCCTCCTGAGTAGCTGGGATTACAGGAACGTGCCACCATGCCCAGATAATTTTTTTGTATTTTTAGTAGAGATGGGGTTTCACCATGTTGGTCAGGCTGGTCTCAACCTCAAGTGATCTGCCTGCCTCAGCCTCCCAAAGTGCTGGGATTACAAGCATGAGCCACCATGCCCAGCCTCTTTTTTCTTTTTTTTCAGAGACGGGTCTTGCTATGTTGCCCAGCTGGTGTTGAATTCCTGGCCTCAAACGATGCTCCTGCCTTAACCTCCTGAGTAGCTGGGATATGGACATATGCCTCTGTTAAATATGTGAGATATAGATATAGATAGATGGCATATATCTATTTGATTTTACAATTGCTTTGATGAAAAGATAACTATAATCTAGGTTGGATTCATTATTAGTGGTATATGTTTCCCTTTTTTTTTAACCTTAACTTCCCAGTGTTTCCTTCTAATTTTAAAGGATATTAAAAACGCTTTCACGGACACCCTAAAAGTGTGGTAGGCCCTAGACACGGAGCCTACTGTGCCTTCTGGAGAAGTCAGGTCTGCACTGAGTCCTTTGTTTGCACTCGGCTACTTCTCCTTCACAAACTTGATTGTAAAGATATAAAAATAATAGGCCTGGCCGGGTGTGGTGGCTCATACCTTTAATCCCAGCACTTTGGGAGTCTAAGGCAGGGAGATCACTTGAGGTCAGAAATTTGATTTGTTTTTTTTTGTTTGTTTGTTTGTTTGTTTGTTTGTTTTTTTGAGACGGAGTTTCGCTCTCGTTGCCCAGGCTGGAGTGCAATGGCGCGATCTCGGCTCACCGCAACCTCCGCC